TGTAAAAGGTTGATGATTTTTGTAAGTATAGAGAGTCAGGCCAATGCTTTGTTAAGTAATAGTATGTGTACTGAGTTATAGGCTTTGAACATGTCTTGAGATAAGATCCAGATTTCTTTGTCTTCAGTGCCTGCACCTTCTAGTATATATGTTAGCATTTGAATTGGCTGTATCATGAAGTTAAAGGATAAGGCTACATGGTTATAGGGTGAAAGAATAGAGTATCTGAGCATTATGTTGTTAAGTCTGTTGGTTATTATTTTGGTAAATATTTTGCATGAATGCTCAATAAGAATAATGAAACAGGTATGATTGAGCTGTTCTGTAAAGGTAGGTTTTTTGGATTATGATAGATGGTTGCTTTTTTCTATTGAGTTGGTATAGTTTCTAGTAGTAAAGAAGTGTTGAATATCTATAGTAGGATTTGCTTTGCTGTTAAGCTAAGATGTTTTAGTATTTCATTAAAAATTACTTATAGGCCTAGTGCTTTGTTTAGAGGTGACTCTTTTATTGTGTTTTTCAGTTTTTTAGTTGTAATAGCATCAGTTAATATAGAGTACCTCTAAGGGTTTATTTTAGTAATAGGATTATAGATTAGCTTCCAGTTAAGTCACTCTGTGTTGTTGGATGTATTTGCCTTTGTCCAGTTTTCAAAATATGCTTATGTATTGTTTTATTTGCATAGGTAAGGTGATTACATTCTCTGCTTGTTTAATATTATGAAGAATTGCTGGGTCTATATGTCTATGTAGGATACTATCAATCTTTTTTGTTGTGTTGTCTGTAAAGTTGGAGTGTCTTTTAGAAATGGCTGTTTGTATTCAGTTTTACTAAGCTTCTTGGTTCTTAATATTTCAAACATTATATAGAGTGCTGCAAACTGTATATAGTTGGTCATCTGTGTTGCTAAAGTTAGTATAAGTTAAACTATTTTCACTAAAAGTTTCAATAAAAAGGTTTGTTAATATTTGTGTTTTTTTTCAATAAGTAGTTAATTTGTATAATAATTTGTTGTGATGAGGTAGATGGTTTAGTAAATGTAAGTATATGTAGGCTTTTGTTTAGATTTTTTAGTGCAGTGTGAAGTAATGTTAATTTTTTGGTAAATGCCAAGTAGGTATGAGGTGTAACTTTTGTTGTTGGAATTGTTACATTAGCTGCCTTTTTTATTGCTATACTGAGTTTGTGCCATTGCGTGTTGAAAGTTTCTATGCAGAAGGGTGGATTAGTTGGCATGTTAGATATGTTCTCTATATATAAGTTAACTTTTGTTTTAAAATCTTTTTACTTGTCCTTGTTTATTTGTTTGTATAAGTATATTGATCTTTTCTTCTTTTTGTGTCTTTTATTTCTAATTGTGAAGTTAGTATTTCAGGTTGTGTATATTATTTTATAGTTGCTTCTTGTAGATTCAGTTAGTGCTATTAGAGTTGGTGTGTCAATTTGGTATATTATATCACATGACATCCATATATCATCAATTTGGCTGGATTGGTTTGTTCGTTACCAGATAGGTGTACTAATTTCAAAATAATTAAAAGTGCTTATAAGGATATAAGTAATAAGATAGTGAAGCAAGAAGGTTTTTTTTTTTCTTGTATTTGATAGTAAGTTGTTATTGAAGTCCCCAGTGATAATAATATAATAGGATCTTGTTTGGGCCTGTTGTATCTATGTTATTACTATGTTTTGAGTGCTGGTTAAGGTTGCTAGTTGAATAATGATAGATAAACTAATATAAATCTAGTTTTATTGCACTATAAAAAAAACAAATCCATTATAATTGTAATACCTGAGCATATTACAATATTGTATATATAGGATTGAAGTTGTGAATATAGTGCAATTACTGTTCTAAGGCTGCTTTCTCTTATTTTTTTTGTGTCTGCATTGCAGTTTGATGTATATACTTTGTAGTATAGATTAGCTACTTGAAGTTTTGTAAATATGGATTCTTGATTTTTGTTTCTTGTATGCAAATAATATGAAAGTTTTGTTTATAGCAATATTTGAGCCAAAGTTGTAATTTGAGATTGTTGTTAATTCCTTGCACATTGTAAGTACATATTGTTAGGTTGTTGATATTAATGAGATTGATAATAGGCTAATTTATTGTAGAGTTGAAGGTTGGTGTTGATGTATTTGAACTGCTAGAATGTGCAGTCATTGTTGGATCTTAGGTGAGAAGATCTTCCAGTTTAGTTCCAGAAGAGGTAGCAGTGCTAGAAGGTTGTTTGAAATGTTGTTGATAGTAAAATGTTGTTATAGAAGTTCTAATATGTTTTTTGCCTTTGTTTGTTGTGTAATTGGAATAGGTGTTTAAATAAAGTCTATTTTTTTCATGTTTAAATAGTTTTTGATTTCTGTTAATAAGTTTGGAATTGCAGGTTTGAATAGGTTTCTGTTTTCATCTTGGTTTGTGTTTTGTATATCTATTTGTTTGGTGTTTTTAGGTATGTCAATCTGGGTATTTGGGATGCAATAAAAGTAGTATATTTGTTTTAGTGCTCTGGCTGTGTTTACGAGTTCTTTAGTTGATGTTATTGGAGTTATGATGTTGAAGTCTTCAATTTTCTGTGGATTTTCAAGTAGGGTGGGTTTGTCTATAGGGTTTGCTAACATTATGCTAGATGGTAAAGGAAGAGAGAACTTGTAAATTGGTGTAATCTGATCTATAAATCATTTCACTTGTTAGTTGTCTGTTATTGAAAAGGTAAATGTGTTGGGTGTTCTAATCTTGTTGGTATCTTTTGGAAGGGATGGCTTGGCTTTGATATAATCATTTGGAAGGTTTTTGAAAGTAAATTTTTCTCTAAGGAGTTCTATAACTTGTATGATGTTTGTATTTGGATCCTGTAGGTCTAATAAGAAATAGAGTTTGTATTTACTGCTGAGATCTTAGTATGCTAGTAGGAGTGGTTGTTTAGAAGATAGTAGGTTGAAGTAGTTTGAGAGTATGGTTTCACAGATATAGAAGTTTTGTAGTCTTTTTTTGTAGAATGCTAAGTTGTTTAGCTGGCTTTATTTGGTAATTAGAAAGAAGTGTCTCACTGCAGGGTCTAGGTTCTGTATATTTTTTGGAGTTGAGTCAAGTGTAATAAAGTATTTTTGTGGTAGTTGCTTGAAGTTATATATTTTATGTAGTACAGTTACTATTGCTTTTGTTTGTGATCTTTGTTTTATAAGAAGGCTAAAAGAAAGTATCTGTAGAATTTACTAGGAATTTCTTTTGGGTTCACAGAAAGTGGGTTCAGTTGTGCAGAAAAGCCAGACTATATTGCATTTTGTATATCTTGGAAGTCGATTGAAGTTTTATTTTTAGTGAAGTTTTTATAATATTTAATTATGAAACAGAGGTTTCTGGGTATATTTGTTATAAAGTTAGTATTAGTTAAATAGTCAATCGTAATTTTTTGTTTGAGTTTTATGTGTATAGTGTTTTTAATTGCTCTAGTTGTTATTGTGATTTTATGTGCTTTCTTTTAGTTTTCTATTACTGTCTTAAATAGATCTTTATAGATAATCTAGTGCTGAGATATCAAGCATTTGTCTCTTGTAAAGGTAAGGAAAAATGCTGAGTCTTGATATTTAAATTTGGCTTCAATGGCTGGGTAAAGTGGAAGTTGGTGGGTTTGGTAAGTAGCTTATATTCTACAAAGTTGTAAATTTCTTTTTTTGTTTTCAGAATAGTAATAATTTATCATAGTTCTATAGTTCTTTATTAAAAGGTTGTGTAATTTTTTTTTGCAGGTTGTTGCATATGCTGTTCACCTATTCTTATGTATGGTCTATTTTTATATTATCTTGTGTTGTGTTTTGCATAATAATAATTCTTTGTGTTATTTGGCTATAAGTGAGAGGTTTTTGGTTATCAGGATTGCTAGCTATTGTGCAACAGATTCAGTTTCTATATTTAGGTTGTGAGGTTTGTTTGTTCTTTGGTCTTAAGTTTGTTTTGTTGTGTGTCTGTAGAATCTAGACTGTTTGGTATAGGTTCTGTCAAGGGTATATACTCAGCTTTGTTGTTGCTATTTATAGTAATATTTGTGTAATCATTATAGAAAATAATGATGTAGCTATTGTTAGTGTCTGTAATTCCTGTTAAGATATTGTCAAAACTGATTTGAGCAAGTTTGTTGTTGTTGTTGTTTGTATATGATGATGTTATAATAGGATTTGTCAAGGGTGAGCTGGATTGTCCACTTTTTTTGTTGTTTTGTAATCTAGAAAGAAGTGTGCATCTTTTTTTTGAAGATTTATCTAAGTATATAGAGTCTTGTTTATTGTTGACTTTATTTTTTCAGAGTATAGTATTGCTAGTATTTGCAGTTTGTTTTTTTATTTGTAGTTGCAGTGTAGTCTCAAAGGAGAACTGAGAGGTGGGGCTGGCTGGCCTGTATTCATTTTTTTTGTCTATGGTAGTGTTAAGAGTTTTGTTTTTTTTTCTTTTAATTTTGCCTTATATTATAGTTGTACTGCTTGTTATATGTATCTAGTATGGCCAAAGGGTCAGAAAAGAGCTAAGATTTATATTTATTTAGTTAGTATACTAGTTAAAATGTAACTTATTTTTTGTCAATTATTTTTACTTAATGATTGTGATTTACAGAAAGAGTTTTTTTTAATAATTTGCAAATAGATATATACAATAATATATCTTTTACTAGAGATGCATGCCTTAATAAAACTTAGTAATTACAAAGTAGATTCTTTTTTTTTTTTTTTAATAAAAAAAAAGTACATTTTTAATATAAGTCACTAAAATAATAAAAGTTATGCAGAAATTGAGCAAAAGTTCCTTGAACAAGATTTAAAAAAACAAGAGTTACCAAAAAAAAATTTGGCTTGCATAAAATAAAAAAAAAGATCAAAACCAAGTTATATTTTTAAATTATTTAATAGTATTATTTAATATATATTCTTTATATTCTTGAAGGCAATAGCTCAAATTAACAGTATAAACTAACTGCAGAGTTTTTTTAACCAATCTTACTTTAATAATGCCACCTTTGAATAAAAAAAGATGCCAACTTAAGGCTGCTAGAAAATCAAAAAGTAAACATACTTATTTAGAAAAAAATAGAACAGTATATGAATATGATGAACAAGATAACTATAAACAAATAAATGAAGAGCTAAATAATCATATGTGGATAAATGAAAAGATTAATAAAAGAGCTACTAATTACTTTGATATTCTACTTTTAGATAGTAGAAATAACAATGTTTGAAAGCTTTGAGAAGGTTCATTTTTAAATTTGGTAATTCTGAAAAAACTTTAAGTTGAAAAAAAGCTGTGTTAAAAAAAGCTACTCAAAATATTCAACTTATTACCTTTTACTTATCTTTTGTTTCAGCTTATTTCTTAGCATCTAACACTACTTCGATCTGTGTACTTTCAGATGCAGTTGCATTGGTACAATTAGTAAAGGAAAATAGAAAGAAAAATATTAAAAGAATTATAAAGAAAATTATAAAAGAAAATACAAAGAAAAATATAAAAAAAAATAGAGAGGAAATAATAAAGAAAATTGTAAAAAGAAATATAAAGAGAAATATTGAGGAAAATAAAAAGAGAATTATAGAAGAAAATACAGAAAAAAATATAAAGGAAAATGTGCAAAAAAGTATAGAAAAAAATATAGCTAATAAAAAAACAAAAATGAAATTAGCAATAAAAAAACTAGACGATTTATTAAAAAAGAATAATAAACATATAGATAAAGGAACATATAGATAAAGGAACTAAGGTTCACTTACAAGTATTACTGCAATACTTGTAGTTAAGACATCAAGATTGGACTAAAATTTATGCAAGTGTAACAATTGCTGGCTCATTAGACTGGAGCAATTATAAAGTGTAATGTATTTGTATTGTCACAGGCCAGAAAAATGTAACAATTCATGCATAATGATATGTAGTATGAATGATGATTGGAACCCACAGATCGTGCATATATTATTGACCTCTCAGAAGCAGAGAAACATGCATAATTAGGCCTTCATGCCAAGAAACACAAGACAAGACAGTTGTGCTCAAATTGGGGAGGGCATTACACTATGGCAATGATATTTCAAAGTGGTGAAATGCAAAATAATAGAAGGACAGTTAGTAAAGCATATTACAAACAAAATAAAGAAACAAAAATGCATATAGTATAGTACTTACCTGGATTAGGTGGAACCTGCATTGGTAATATTGTAGTATGGCAGAATGGTGGAAAAGATAGAAGAGAAACCTAAAACAAATAGCATTAGTTAGTATAAGCAAAAAGTGTATAAAAGCAAAACCAAAATTTTAATAAAGTACTTATCTTTTGGTGCCTCCAAGTAGTAGGAGAAAGATCGAAGCTGTCCTAATAATAAAAGTTAATAGTTTGTAGGGTAGTTAGCTAATGCATTAAACAATAAAAAGAAAGGTATTAAATAAAAACTTTATACTCGCCCAAATCGAAGCCCACATCTCAAAGCCCTATCCTGCTGTTTTCGTAATGTTATGCGACATCTAGTTAGTCATAGTGACAGACTTACCGTTTTACCTATTGCAGTATATAGAGTAATGAATAGTTAAAGTGAAGAATATTACTAAAGGATAATTGAGAAAGTTCATAAAAGTAGTATGTCTTATTGATAATGAAAGAATATCTTTAAAAGTAAAATTTCTTATATACTGTATAATATTAAAGTATAATTGTTATATAACTCATAAAGACATATTTTAAATAGATTATATTAAAATCAGGTAATATGGCAGTCAGTTGCTCTACAATCCTTAACTTTGTATAATCTATAGTTAGCTTAGTTGAAAAAAAATGTTTAGTAGTTTGGATCTGTAAGTAAGTATTTCTTCTTTACTTGTATTATGGTTTTTCTTTCTTAAGCTGTCTACTAACTTTAATTCTCAATTGCCTTACTACTTTGGATAATTGGATGATACATATAACCTTATCTATCACACTTCTTCAGATAGTTGAACTTGAGTGACTACAGCTAATGCTGGTACTTTAGGATACAATAGACGGATAGAGTTTTTACAATATTACAGATTAGAACAGATAACTACAAGAAGTGGGTTTTTATGATCTATAATTTAGCTATTAGTTAATATATTAAAAAAGATAATTATGTATTTATTATAATGTAAGGAGCTAGTTATTATTTTAATAAAGCAAACTACTGAGGGTTTTCTTCCTTTCTCTATGGCCTTTACAGCCTTTATTTATCTTAAAAATTCTTTATTTATATTTGTTATTTTACATTTGCTACAACTACTACATCTACTACTTTATTCTTAACTTATACTTATCTGATATGGCCTTCACACCTTATGTAGCCATAGTAGTCTATATAGCTGAAATAGCCTAAGTGGGCCAGGTTACCCTAATTTGGAGTAGCTATAGTCACATGTTATATGACTTTCTTAGATAGCAATATCATATTTAAAAAGTTATAAATTTAGTATGAACTCTAAGGTTCTAAAAGAATTTGTAAAGAATGAAGTATTTCTGTCTTTAGGTGTTAAAAAAAAACAACTATAAGTGAAAAAACTGCATTAACATGGCTCAACAAGTTGAAATAGCATTATAAAGAGTAGAAGAAGAATATATATAGATGGTTATGAGTAAGAGGATATAGTATAATACTAACAAGAGATTTTTTTGCCTATAATAGTAAATCTAGAACTCCTTCTCATTGAATATGATGAAAATAATCTGAATAAATTAGTTGAAAAAAATATTTTCCCTAATGAAATACCACATTGTGTAATAACACATGATGAAACAACATTAGCTGCAAACAATAAAAAAAGACTGAATAGACTTCTGAAAGTCTATAATTTTTTTTATTATTTTTTTTTATTTTTTTATTATTTTTATTATTTTTTTTTTACTTTTTTTTTTATAATAGTAAACAAAAACTGTATCCAAAAGAACAATATAGATGCATTTACACTAGTAAATTTTTATGTAAGCCTTTAGGGCATGTTCATTTAACTACAGAACAATACTTATTCTATCCAAAAATTCCAAACAGATATATTATAGAAATTCTTAAAGTTAGTGCAAACCATGATAGTTATTGGAATATTCAATTGCTTGCTAAACAACTTAAACACATAATTAATATTTTGGAAATTGTATTTCTTAATACAATCTTTGTTTTTGGATTTGATAATAGTTCTTGTTATGATGTCTTTGCAAAAGATGCATTAGTAGCAAGTAGAATAAATGTAAAATATGATAGAAAACAGCTATAAATGCATCCTAGTCAATTATCTGATAGTACTCCTTAAGAGATAGTCATTCTACTTGATTATAAGAAAGAAAAAAAAAAGAACAGCCAAAAGTAATAAAATGAGTAATAAAAAAAATAATATTTGAAATTAACAATTAAGAGGCAAATGTGCTAAATACTTAAATAATGAAAAATTGATCTGTTGTAATATAAGAAAATTAGCTAAACAGTCTGTTGTTATAGAGCAAAAAAGTATTTTTAAAGAAATTGTAACTAATCAAGATCATAAAATTTTTTTTATCCTAAATTTCATCCTAAATTAAATTACATTGAATACTTTTAAGGTGCATTAAAACAATATACAAGAAGCCATTACAACTATATATTTTAAAGATTATAAAGTATTATGCCAGAAGTTCTTAATTCTGTGTATGTTATAATAATTAAAAGCATACAAGAAGAGCTTCATAATATATGGATGCTTATAGAAAAGGATTGTTATTTGCTGCAGCTAAATTTGCAGTAAAAAATATAAATTTTATAGAAGAATTTCTGAAAGTATTATTTCTTAATTGCTAAACTGTTTGTTATGATTAATAAAGTTTATATTATATAGAGCAAGATATTTGATTACTGGTTATCTTTTTTTTTGAATATTATTTTTATAATATGAATATGTAAGGTTTCTTTACTTTAGTTTAAATATCATGATGCATAATTATTTTAGATAATAAGTAGTTTTTCTTGGACACTAATATGAATATTAGAGCTCAAGTTAAATTAATGCCAAGATCTAATAATTAGGTAAGTTGTAATATTTTATTTAAATAGTTTTGCATATTTAATTTCTTGATTAAAGGTAGAGTTTATATAGATTACTTGTCATATGACTTTAATTATAAATTTTTTTATTTTGGTATTTAAAAATATTTTTACTAACTTAACTGCTTTTAAGCTTTTAAACAAAATTGTAAAACAGATTTTATGTTTCTAATAATAGTAGAATTATTAAATTCAGATTAAAATTTATTGAGATAGATTTATTTAAGGATTTAGTATTATAAATCTATTATAAAAATTATATGATAATTATATAATAATCAAGCAATCAGAATGTTATTACCAAGAATTTGAATTTATCATTAAGCTTTTATAATATATACAAGTATAGTTTTTTTTAAATAATATATATTATAATTTTTTTTATTATAATAAATAAATCATTTTAATTTATATATCCTAAAAATTTAATAAAATTTTGGTATATTTTTAAAAAATTTTATTAGTACTATATTTTTATCTATTATATAAATTTAAATTTACTGTGCAAATTATATAACAAATAATCTACATGTACTTTACCTTTAAAATTTTAATTTATTATACAATGTAATGATTAAAAACTGATCAATGATGCATTAAACCTAAAAGAGATCAATTGCATAATTATTTAGTGAATGTAGCATAGTAGATTTAGCAGAAACTACATATACAGTAGATTTAGAATAACTAGCATATTTAGAGTAACTAGCATATTTAGAATAACTAGCATATTTAGAGTAACTAGCATATTTAAAATAACTAGCATATTTAGCAGATATGTAAATAATATATAAAGCACAAAGCATTTGTATGTAAAAATACAGAGAACAGAATGTATCCATATATACTTTAATAAAGTATACGCTCTGCCAAATTCATGCCTTCTTTCATAGTAATATTATTCAATATTACACAAGCCAACCTGGAATACCCTATGAATTGGAATATTTAAGTGAGCAATTATTTGAAGCATTACAACAAATAATGTAAAAATAGCTTTAACAAAATAAAATAAAATAAAATAAACCTAACAAAAAAGTAGCCTAATAAAACAGAATAACAAATTTGATAAAGTAAAAAAAAACCTAATAAAATAAAAAGAAAAGCCTTATAGGGTAAAAAAAAGGTGCCTAATTGAATAAAAAATAAAACTGATTAAAAAAACTTGATTAAGTAAAAAAAAAAGATCATAAAAAAAAGATACAAGAATCATTGTTTAAACTCAACTTGTTGCACTAAAAAAGCAATGATTTTTAAAATTTTTAAGTGCATTTAGTAAAATTTTATATTATAATGTATGTGGCCAAATTTCTAATACTATATTTAAATACTATAAACTTAATTATAAATAGCAGCATCAATATTGATTTAAAATAAAAAATCTCATTGTAGCATTGTTGTTTAGGTACTATGTAATCATTCTACAGAGAGTTTTTTCTATTGAAATATAATTTTGTTGACTAAATACAATTTTTAATTAGTATATTGCTTGAAATTACATGATATCAGATATAGGCTTCTTGCACTATATGTAAATTAAAACTATAGAACAAAATTATAAATTCTTTTGTAAATTCTTTATACAAAAATTAACAAAAATTTATTTATAATAAAATTGCTAATAGCTTATTATTTATTAAGTTAACTAAATTTTATATCTTAAGTAAACTTGCATTTTATATATATTCTAAAAGTTTTAAGTATTTAACTTTCAAACTTGCACTTTAATGCTGCAATAATAATAGTAGAATTTCTAAATTATTTCTTTAATTATTTTTTTAAAACTAGTTTTACAATCTATTTTGTAGTTCTAAGCAAAGTTGTAAAGCTTATTTTTTTAATTAAAACAAGATTTAAATAAAGCTCTAGATCTAATATTAATAGAAATATAATAAAAAACAATTTTAACTCTTTTATAAATTTAATAAAAAATCTTTTTGTTCTTATCTTTAAATTTTTTTCTTTATACAATTTTTGTATAATATTAAATTATTATTACAATTATTTTTATATTAAGTTCAGACTGTACTAATTAATATTATTTAAAATAGTATCTAATTTTTTATTAGTTTTTTCTTTTTACTAATTTAATTTTGTATACAATTATAGTAAAATATTATATTATTACAAACATTTTTAAAACTTATATAAAACTTGGTTAATAAGATATTAAGCTAAAAATAAAATTATAACTTATTAAATCTATATCTTGTAAACAAAAAAAATTATAAGGTTCTATGCAGTACTTTTTAAAATAATTAAGTCTAAAAAAGTTTAGTTTTATTTTTTTTTTAATATTAATAATAAGACCATATTTTTAGTTTTATTTAATATTTAATTAAAATTTTTATATAAAGCATAAATTTATTTTAAAAATATTATAAAAAGATTAAAAATTCAGGCTAATTTATCTGTAATCTAAACTAACAGAAGTGATTAAGACTTATATAAATTTGAATGTTAGTAATTATATAAAAAAATTAATATAGTATTTAATCAATTGTATATACTAAAAATTAATTTTGAAGCTAATAGAATTAGAAAAAAAAGGTTAAGATAAATGTGAAGTAGGAGTAAAAAATAAATTAAAAATAGAAGAATAAGTTGTTAATCTTGAAATACAGTAAAAAATTCAAATTTTATAATATATTTGTTAATTAAGAAAAAGTAAAAATTTAATAACAAATATTGTAGCTGTTTTTTTTAATAATAAGTCTAAGACAATAGAGATAATTTTATTTGGCACTAAGCCTAATAATGTTAAAAAAACTAAAAGCAAATTTATTGTACTATATATAGTTATTGTTAATTTATAGTTTTTCTTTAACTATAGCAATAATAAAAGCTGTTCAACTATAGTATAATAACTATAACTTGACAAATTCTATACAAAGTCTACATAAAACTTAACAAAATACAGAGTAATTTGGGATTTTAAGACAGAGACAATAATAAATAATATGCAAAGATACTAAATATTGCATTTAGTTTATTCACTATTAAAATATATGAAGACATTTAATTTTCTTGAAGGGTCAGAAAGTAGTGCTTTTATAGATATTTTATATATATAAATTATTATAATAAAGCTAAGTTATCTTAATAGAATATGTTAAATATAGTAATACATGATAAGAAATATTAAAAATATAAAAGATATTGTATATATATATATATTTATTTTTTTAAGTTAAACTAGCTTTTTTTGAAGCTAAGGCTTTTTATTTAGTAGTTTGGATATAGTGACTCATGACCAAGACTTTTATAGAGTCTCCTTACATTAAAGAGTATAACTAGTCACATATGCACTTTAGGTGTCTAATTAAGTAGTCTGATGATGGTTCTATACTAGCTGCTATACTTGCAACTCAACTAGGGTATTGCTTATTTAAATCCTCTGTACTGCAATACTTACTGTATCACTAGATCATTTTTGCTATATAAGTCAGTTAAGAAGGTTTAGATGCTTACCTATATCCTTAGAATCCATATCTTATTTTATGCAGTATATCCTTAGAAGTATCATTACTAGAGCCTTCAGTTTCCTACATACAGCTAATCTAGTTTTATGAAACACACTATAGTTATCTAATATTTGCAATTAGTGCTAACCTTATACTACTATATTATACTATTTCTATTCTTGTAAAGTTCACTATAACCTTAGTAACTATCTTCCTAGCATCTTCTTCATCATTCTTTACTAGCCACAACTCAGAACTGACAGTCTCTTCCAGACTACCAATCCAGATGGCCTGGTATGATATACTTCTGTATTCTTTTCATCTAGTGAATTTGGCAGCCTAGTTGGTTATATGCTTCTCTACATATTTGATGTTTAGTTTAACCTTCAGTTCCTATAAAGGTTTTTTATAGTCTTCAACTAGTTCGATAGTACTGTTAAAAGTTTGTGCTACCTCTTTACTCAAAAATTTCTAAGTAGGTTTCTGTCACCTTAGTTTCTTAGTCTTCTATATCTGGTAGTCTTATTATAGGTTTGCACTAAAGTTTTATACAATACTGGTTAAATATTCTTCTATGTATATGTAATATTACACTTCGCATAGATGCTCTGAGCTCTTAATGTTGATAGGGCCTAATTTGGTATATCTGAATTACAACTGCATAAGGCCAATCAATTAATAGAAACAGTTATTATAATGTAGATATAATTTTCAAATTTTATCATAAGTGGGATTT